GGCCCACACAGACGGTGCACGTCGTCGCTGGGCGGCGCTGCCGCGCAGACCCGGGCGGACACGCCCGAGATCGGCGCGCGGCCCGCGAGAGAGGTCGACGTGGGGCGGCGGCCCCGGCAGTACGCCCCACTAGCTCGGGAACGAGGAAGATCAAGGGCACGCTGCCGTTCGCAGCCGGTCGGCGTGTGACTCCTTGGGGAGGCAGAGTGGGCGACACGCTGCCAATGGGCTGCGCGGCGTTTTTGCCCCAAGGCCTGGGGTCTCTTCAACGACCGTGTAGCGCGCTGATGGTTTCCCCACAGCGGCGCATCTAAAGGGGCCCAGGGACACACAAACAACTACACACAAATCCCTGGATTCCCCATATGTTCCCATATTTTCCTGGTTTGGGTCTTCACCCCCACTTCCCATAGTTTCCAATATTTTCCTGGAAGCCGACGATTCATTGTGTCTGTGTGTTTCTCCCCCCCCCTGAGTATCCTTGACCCTGTGTTTGCTCCCCAGGCTGCCTGGCTGCCCCCTCCGCCCCTGAGGGCAGCCTCGCGCGAGAGCGGCCAGCGGAGACCGAGACACAGAGCTCCGACGGTGCGCTCCTGTCGATCCGAGCGACTCCCACCGCTTTCGGCCTCTGGTTGCCCTTCCCGGTCCCCGGCAGGATCAGTCAGGGCCGGAATGGGACAGAGTAGGCCGCATGGGCACGGAGTCGAGACCGAATCGCATCGGCCGCTTGAGGATGCGCAACAACGCCATGCAAACAACCGCATCGGGTCGCAAGGAAATCCGCCGACCCCTTGGGGATCATCGGCGTGTGAGATGCTTCCCCCTCCCCAAACCCCTCCCCCGGGAGCCCGGTCCGGTCGATTTGGAGGGGGGGGGGGGGGTCCGGGACGAGCGCTCCACGGGGCTTTTCCTGGCCCAAGAGGGCTTCAAGACGGGCCACGAAGCCCCCAAGAGGCCTCCAAGACGGCCCACGAAGGCTCCGAGAAGCCAAACGACCGCTCCAAGACGCCCACGATGGCCCCAAGACGGGCCAAGAGGTCTCCAAGACGGCCCCTGAGGTCCCAAATGAGCCTCCCAAGAGGGCCCAAAGAGTCAAAAATTGCTGATTTTCCAGAGTGTTTTTCGATGTTTTTTGCTTTTCCGCCTTTCCGGCTTCCCGACGCTCCAAGACGGGCAAAGAGGCCCCAAAGATAGCCCCAAGATGGCCCAAGAGGCCCCCAAGACGGCCTCCAGACGGCCCAAGACGGCCCCAAGACGGCCCAAGAGGTCCCCAAGACGGCCCAAGAGGGCCGATTTGGAGGGGGGGAGGGGGCCGGGACGAGCGCAGCACGGCCGGGACGAGCGGTTCCAGGGCTTTTCCGGGCCCAAGAGGGCCTCAAGACGGGCCAAGAAGGCTCCAAGAGGCCTCCAAGACGGCCCACGAAGGCTCCGAGACGCCAAACGACCGTCCAAGACGCCCAAGATGGCCCCAAGACGGGCCAAGAGGTCTCCAAGGCGGCCCCCGAGGTCCCAAACAAGCCTCCCAAGAAGGCCCCAAGAGTCTAAAATTGTTGATTTTCCACAGTGTTCTTCGACGTTTTTTGCTTTTCCGCCTTTCCGGCTTCCCAACGCTCCAAGACGCGCGACGAGGCCCCAAAGATAGCCCCAAGATGGCCCAAGAGGCCCCCAAGACGGCCTCCAGACGGCCCAGGACGGCCCCAAGACGGCCCAAGAGGTCCTCAAGACGGCCCAAGAGGGCCGATTTGGAGGCGGGGAGGGGGCCAGGACGAGCGCACCACGGCCGGGACGAGCGGTTCACGGAGCTTTTCCGGGCCCAAGAGGGCCTCAAGACGGGCCAAGAAGCCCCCAAGAGGCCTCCAAGACGGCCCACGAAGGCCCCGAGGCGCCAAACGACCGTTCCAAGACGCCCAAGATGGCCCCAAGACGGGCCAAGAGGTCTCCAAGACGGCCCCCGAGGTCCCAAACAAGCCTCCCAAGAGGGCCCCAAGAGTCTAAAATTGTTGATTTTCCATAGTGTTTTTCTATGTTTTTGCTTTTCCGCCTTTTCGGCTTCCCGACGCTCCAAGACGGCCAAAGAGGCCCCAAAGACAGCCCCAAGATGGCCCAAGAGGCCCCCAAGACGGCCTCCAGACGGCCCAAGACGGCCCCAACACGGCCCAAGAGGTCCCCAAGACGGCCCAAGAGGGCTCCAAGACGGCACCACGAGGGGCCCAAGAGGGCGACCAAACATGTTGAAACTCTAGCTTTCTGCCCCCAGGAGCCCCAGGGGGCCCCAAGAGTGCCCCAAGAGGCCCCCAGAGGCCCTCACGAGGCCGCCCAGACGCCCCAAGGAACCCCCAAGAAGCACCCCAGAGGCTCCGAAACGGCCCCCGAGTGGCTCCAAAACTCGCAGTGTCGCTGTCCGCTCGGACCTCCCCGCGGAACTGCCCGAGACCCTCTGGCGGTGGCGGCGAACAGACACCAAAGAAATATCACTCGCCTTTTCACCCCTTCGCAGCTTCTACTACCCCCAGATTGGCATAAACAAGGGGTCGGCGGTGTGGCGTAAGCCTAAGAATCAAAACCGAAACGGAATTAGAATAATTAGGTCAGGCGTGTCCCCCTTCAGGCGGATTTTGGACGAGCTATACAAATACTACACACATGCATCCAAATAATGAACAAATATACAAAAATCGTCCCCAGACTATGTTTTGACTATTTTAAATATTCCTCCTGTAGAGAAACATGCCCGACTTACAAGTTAGAATTGGCCGACACCGAGGTCGGATCGGATCGATCGGATCGAAGTGGGCCCCGCCAGGGGCCATCCAGATGCACCCCGGGCGCACAGCCGTCCTCAAGCGGTCACAGATCGGAGGCGCGCAGACATGGATTAGGGATCCATGGTCCATGGATTTGGCGCGCGGTCGCCAAATCCATGGATCGGGGGAGGTGCCCTCCCCAAGGTGCGGCCGGTGCCGCCTCGCTCGGCGGCTGAAATCCGCGATGTCCCACGGAAACGGGACCCGTCGCTAATCCACGCCCCCTCAGTCCATGTTTTCGACCGCTTGGCAGACGGCCGCGCTGGCGCCACTCCAAAGCGCCCCCCCCCCCCGGCCCACACGCGACGCCCCCAACGTCCCCTTCGCCCGGGCGCTGTGCGCCCCTCCTTCCTTGGTGGTCAGGCTAACGAGCTCGAATCCGGAAGGCAAATCGCAAGGAAGAAGAGGACGATTATGCAGACCAGCACATCACATGCGAAGCTTCTGGCCCAACAGCCAGATCTACCTTCTCCCCCCCCTCTTGCTGGCTCTCGGGCCCCAGCCTGTATTCAGGCGGCAGCTCTGTGGCGGCCAGTTCGGCGCCCGAGGAAGTCGCTCGGCGAGGCGCAGCTGATGGAATCCACACCGGGGCCCGAGAGCCCCCTGGAATTCCAAATTCCAGAGCACGGCTCTCTTTGAAGCATGCTCCCTCCCTCCCTCCCTGCCCCTCAACTTCCTCCGCGAGCACGGCAATCGCTGCTGCGTCGGCACGCGCGCCTCCGCGCCCTATCCAGGCGCCCGCAGACCATCCGGCTCCACCCCCTTGCTGCGAGGCGGGGATTTATCCATATCCACCGCCTGGGAACCGACGTCCTGGTGCCCCAGCGGGCGGTGAATATGGACACATTTTGGCCCCCGAGGGCCCGAATATATCCATATCCACCGCCTGCCGATGTCCCCGAGAATCCCACCAGCCCTCTGGGCGTCGGTGGTTTAGAGCGTTTCCTCTTCCACCCCTCCTTCTTCCCCTTCGAGGAGGGGTTTACCCTTCCCCCTACCCCCTCCCCACTGACCTGGACAGGGGGGGCCGCGAGTAGTTAGAGCGTCCAAGATCGACTCCTGGGAGGGCTAAAATTCGACACCCCTCACGAGGATCGTGGCTCCTGAGGGGGGGACTGTAATTAGGGAACCCCCTTCGTTGATCGATCTCCTCCAAGATGGCTCCGAGGCCCCCCAAGAGGCCCCCAGGAGGCCCCCAAGAGACCCCCAAGAGGCCCCAAGAGACCCCCCAGAGGCACCCAAGAAGCGCCCAGGAGGCCCCAAGAAGCGCCCAGGAGGCCCCCAAAGGCCCCAAGATGGCCCCAAGAGGCCCCAAGAGGCCCCCAGGAGGCCCCAAAGAGGATCCCGAACGGCCCACAGAGGCCCCCCCGAGGCACCCAAGACGCCGAAAAGCCCCTCAGGACGACCCTCTACTCGCCTGGGCGTCGTTTCTGGACGGGCTGGTGGGGATACGCGAAGCGTCTAGAATTGATCCTCCAGGCGGTGGTCATGTATGAAATCCAGCCTCAGACTTGCCCTCTCCCAGAAACTGCTTTTGGTCGGAGTCCTGCGATCGCCTGGGTTATCGGGCGCGCCCGTCCCCCCCCACTCCTCCCCTCACAAATAACCTGACCTTGCCGGTTGCGCAGGTGGTCCGAAGCCGGTACGCAGTACAGGTGCGCGCGAGCATGCGTGGGGCTGCCGAAAGCGAGAAGTTGATGTCACTGGCGAGCACCTTCCCCACCACCAGACAGCCTGGGTGATCTTGGCGGCGAACGAGGGGGGAAGCGAGAAGGAGAAGGCCTTCTCAGAAGGCTCGGGAAGGCCCCTGGCCCTTCTGAGAAATTTTCTGAGCCTTCCCCGAAGAGACAGAAACACGTCTCAGAAGGCGCGAGGGTTCTGAGATGTCCCGCCGCCTTCTGAGAAGGCCTTCTCCTTCTCACTGCCCCCCCTCGCTCGCCGACGATTATCGCCAACGACCCCCTACGGCGGAACCATCGGCACCTCAATCGCCGCTGCAGCCTGGGGCCAACGGAGGCTCGCTCGCCACGGAGCTCTCCTCTGCAAGCCAATGGATCGAGAACCGAAGCGCTTCTCCCCCCGTGCCCTCTCCTACGGCGGCGCCCTCGGCACCTCAAGCGCCTCTGTGAGCGGGGGCCAATGGAGGCTCGCTCGCCAAGGAGTCCCTGCTCTGCAAGACACGCGGTCGGGAGGCTCCTCACGACAATGCCCTTCACGGGCTGGCTCCAGAGCAGACAGCGGTTATCCGCGCCGTGGTGGTACTCTATGCCTCCCAGCCCCCATTGCTTGATGCGCACGCAGTTGCACACCGAGGCGCATGTGGCTATGCGAAGAACTTACACAGACAACAAATCACACAACACACAATACGACACATAAAACCACACACACTGAAACTTGCTTGGCGTTGCGGCCACGCGCGCGGCGGCGCGGCGTAGCCTCAATTAGGGCACACACACGCACACACTCTCTCACCCACGCACATAGCATCTCAACGCATGCGACTGGCATTTCTGCGGCCGCCCGGGCCGCGATATAGCGGCAGATTCACCCACGCGCGTTTGAAAATGAGCGAACGTCTGGAGAACGATGACAGGAGAAATTTCGACTACACGTGAAAGTGACCGTTCGCAAGAGTGACCTTTGGTGCTGGCCCCATGGGGATCGGGTGATTTCCCTTTGGAATGAGCTCGACCTCGCGTCGGCACCCGTAGCGCGTGGTTGCGCTCGCATCTGAGCGCGCCAGGTGTGCCGGTGTGCCCCCCAGACACCTGCATCCGACCGCTACGCATGCGCGACGCACCCCAACCAAAATCCCAAATCGTCCGGTTTGAATACTTTTGAATATATTTGGAAACCTTTCCGAACAAATTGAGATCATTACCATTACAAATTCTCAAAATATTCAAACATATGCTGGGCCCGCGGTTGGGGCCGATTTGGGCCACGACGCTGGACCTGGACAGCCGTCATCGCGACGCGGCCCGGCAGTGCCAGACCTCATCGTGGTGGCCCCCGGCAGCGTCTGCTTTCGCAGCGCCTTCGAGGTGCCACTCGGGGCGCTCGAATCCGATTGGCGGACTTCCGTGGTTGCCCGCCGGCGCGAAGGATCTTTCGAGGCGCATCCCGCCGACCTTTGATGCGGCGCGACAATGCTGGTCTGCGCGGTTGCGTTGGGCCCGCACGGGCGCCCCAGAAGCCCCGCACCAAATGTCACCCTAGCTTGGGGTCGCTCTTACGTGTAGCCGAGAATCACTGGCTGGCCATTCGTAGAAGGGCCCGCCATGGGCAGCGGCCCTACGCTTTCTGCTGAACCGGAATCAATATCTTGAGGAGGATGCAGAGGAATTGGAGGCTGCATGGCGGGCATGAACTGGCTGGGACCCCAGAAAATCGGCCAGGAGGGAGGATGAAACCAAATCCGTTCAAACTCGGCCCCTGGACCGATCTCGGAGATAATCTGGCGTTGTGGATGCCACGACAATGGACACCCTAACAGTCCTATCATCGAATTAAACATGTGTTTCAAATGTAGGAAGAATGTCCTGAAAATGTTTTAAACAATGTTTAACATGTTTAAAACAAGTGTAACACATATTCTCGACATCTGGAAATTATTTGGCAACATGCTTCCTCTCCATTAATCGTCCTCCACAAATCTGGCGCAGATCACCCCGGAACAATTTTTGCCTGTCCCGGGGCCCGAAACGGCCCCTGGGGGCAGACACAAACAAAAAAAGCTTCCCCCTTCCTGCTGGCCAGAATCAGTGCCGGGCCACCTCAGACCCCCAGCCAGCTCCAACGGAGGAGGAGGCAGACGAGGGGAGGGAAAGCGAAAGAGGGAGAAGGAAAAAGAAGAAGGAGGGGGGGGATGAGAAGCCGCCCCCAGTCACTCCTCGCACGGGGAGCGGCGGCGGGGAAGGGGCCCGCGCGACAGCAGCTCGGAGGACGGCCGCGATCAGGACGCTCGGCGCTCCCTCAGAGCAGCCGGTGAACCTATCCTCCTCCTAGCCCCGTCCGGCCCCAGGTCGCCCGCCCCGCCTCCCCCAATACGCCCCCAAGAGAGCCCAGATAAGCCCAGACATCTTCCATGAAGGCCTCCACGAAGGCCCCCGATAGGCGCCCAAGAAGGAAGTGCCCGAGGGGAGGGGGACAGGAGCGGGGGGAGGGGAGTGACTAAGGGGAGGGTTTCTACTGCTCCCTCCTGGTGCGCCCTCTCCACGCTACCATAAACCCACGTGCAACCACAGACTCCGAAATTCCCTCTTCGTCCTCCCCATTCCCAGAACGATGCTTGCACCGACCGCATATATGACCTTCCGGAATCTCTGGGCTTTCGCCTGGTGGCCGCCTCGTGGCCGCCCCGTGCACGGGCCGGCGTTTCCAGATGTTTGTCAGGTGGGCGGCCCTCGGCCGCATTGGCTGCCTCGTGCGTTGGCCGGCGCTTCCAGACGCGAACACAAAATCGTGTTCCTGCTAAGCGAGCTTCCATTCTGCTAAGTGCGCTTCCGATGTGCTTGATCCTGTTGCCAGCCCCGCCTCCTGCTACTTGTGGTGCGCTGTAGTTCATGCCAAGTTGCATTGGAAGCTCTGGAAAACAACTCCTCCTCCTCCTCGTTGACGTTAGGCAAACATGAGGCGGGGCCTGTTGCGCTATGTGATGATGCATAAAAACTCGCCGGCCTAGGCGGAGTGAAAAACAAATGACGCCTGCCTGGCGCAGCAGAGAAGGCCAGGCAATGAGAACAGGCTGAGAAAGTGGGCCCTCAGGGGCGCAGAGTATGCGCCAGCCAGGCGGTGAAGTCCCACTCGTTCTCAACCCCCACCTACACCCCAATCCCTTCCCAGGTCAAGGCCCTCACCAAGGGACATTACGGCAGTTGCTGAAAAAAGCCCTCACCGAGGGATAGTGTGCAAATATGTTGGCAGCGCACCTCCCACCTCCAACACCGCCTCCTCTATTCAATCATTATCATCACACTTTTCCTCTTCACGGGTCTGGACGGGGCCTTCCGCGAGGGATTGGAGCGTCCAAGATGGCCTCGGCGCGCAAGCCAAAATCATTGATGCCACTGAGGTGTTGGCCACATTTTGGCCTCCTGGGGGGGACCTAATTGGGGAGCTCCCCTCCTTTGATCGATCTCCTCCAAGTTGGCCCAAGGATGGCCCCAAGGCTCCCAAGGGTGCCCCGAAATGGCTCCAAGAGGTGCCAAGGAGGCCCCAAGAGGCCCCCATCAGACCCTCAAGATGCCCCCAAGAGGCTCCCAAGAGGTCTCCAAGACGCCCTAGAGGCTCACGAGAGGGATCCAAGCCGATGTCCCAAGAGGCACAGGCGAGAAGGCCAAAGTCATCGGTGTTACTGCTGAGGTGTTGGCCGCATGTCGGCCTCCTGTGGCGGGCCCTGCTTAAGAAGCCCCCCTTCCTTTGACCGATCTCCTCCAACATGGTCCCAAGATGGCACCCGAGGCTCACAAGAGTGCCCCAAGACAGCTCCAAAAGGTGCCCAGGAAGCTCCAAGAAGCAACCAAGAGGCCCCCAAGATGCACCCAAAAGGCTCCCACGAGAGCTCAAAGAGGCCCCAAGATGCTCAGAGGCACCCAACATGTCCCAAAAGGCTCCCGGGACTGCCAAAAGAACCAAAAGGACCCCAACAAGCTCTCAGACAAAAATCGGAAGAGACTCCGAGAAGCATCCCAGAGGCTTCTGGCCTTTCTGCTTGCCATCCTCCTCCTCCTTCTCCTCCACTTTCTCATCCCCCTATTCCTCCTCCTTCCTCCTCCCTTCTCCATTCTGCCTCTCCCTACTCATTTTCCTCCTCCTCCTCATCCTCCTATTCCTCCTCCTCCTGCGCCTTCGATTCCTCCTCCATCCTCCCCCTCTTGGGGTAGGATGTCTTACCCAACACTTCGTTCCACTGCATGCTCATCCACAGCCCTGATCCGGGCAACTCGTCTGGGCATCGTTTCTGGATGGACTGGTCGGCTGACGCGAAGCGTGCAGAGCTGCTCGGTTTCAGAGCGCCCCCTCGCTGAAGTCATAACATAATTGTGCGTGGTTTGCGAAGCGCACTTGCTTGAGCATCGGCGTTTACGACGTGCGCTGAAGGCTGTCGCAAGCGAGGTGGTCAAACATCAATTGCACCCGGAGGATTGCACCGCGCAGAGATGCCCCCCGCACGCTTGAACGGCCGTCGCTCTCGACAGCCCCGCCTGTCCGTCCCCGCGCCCCCACACAGGCCCCTCCCCCCCGCACATCCTCCTGTCACTCCACTCCTCCCTCCCTGACCATCCGCCTGCCCTTTGGAAAAACATGCCCATCGGTCAACAAAAAGTAGGTAGAACCACTCAGCAGGAAAGCGGTCAAAAGGACTGGGCTTCCGCCCGCCCCCCAAGGAGGACGGAAACAGCGAAGCCACTCGAACAGTGAGGTAGGAAGGCGCTTTAAAGCAGATTGGAACCTGGGACTCCAAAAACACCTACTTTCAACGACCGGTAGCGGCGAGTACAGATCTGTCCTGCCGAGAAGCGCACCTTGCAACCGCCCCCCCTATCTTCGGGAAGCGCAAATCGTCTGAGCAACGGGAAAGCTAAACCAGCAACACAATAGCACCCAATAGACAGAAACTGCAATTGTTTGCAAGACTCTCGAGCCTCTCGACGCGACTGAAGAGACTATCTGGCTGAAATCTTCCCTACGGCAGCCTGCTCCCGACCGTGTTACCCCACTTGGGAGCCCGAGGGGGGCGGGGTCGAGAGCGACAAGGCGCCGAAAGGCTCCTACCTTCTCCTCTTCCGCTTCCACCACCTCCTCCTCCTCCTTCTCCTCCTCCTGCTCCGCCCCCTATCCCCCTCCATCATGTTCCTCCTCGTTGCATCCTTCGCGTTCCATCATCCTCTCTGCATTATCATCCCATCCTCCTCCTCCTCCTCATTCTCCTCCTCTCCTCCTTGTCATCCTCCCCACTCCCCGCCTGTGCAATCGTCCAGGCCCATGTCCGTGCACTTGCGCTTGCACTCGTCCTCGAGATTCGGGGCGGCTGGTCGAATGCGGCTTGGGGAAGAGCGCCATTCAAGAAAGGAGGGGATGGGGAGGAGGGGGAAGGAGTGAAATGGAGGGGGTGATCAAGGCTTCGGGGACGTACTTTCAAGACCAGGTGAAGGGGGGAATTACTGAACGGGGGCACAGGCACGGCACAAGCACGGCGTCCGGCACGGGGCCCAGCGAGCGGGAATCGGGAGGGGCGGTGGGGGACGCTGGCATGGACGTGGAATCGTGATCAGGTCGTCAAAAAGGGGAAAGGCGAGGGGGACAGGCGAGGGAGACGAGGGGACGGGCAGCCATGGCGAGAGAGAAAGGAGTGTATTGTTTGCTCGTGGGCCAGCGCCAAGCTCTGACTCCGAACGTCGACGAAGGACCTGAAGGAGCCGAGAGGGGACGGGGGACGGGGACCCAGGACCCACAACGAAGCCGACCCAAAGGATCGACCGAACAAACAGGACCGAAAACCTCGTTGGCCACCAATCACAGTGCATCCCCGTGCAACCATCGGACGAGAGGGAACGGAGGCGGGGCGGAAGAAAGGGAGGAGGGGAGGGGCCGTGGGTCAGGGAACGTTGCGTAGCGTAGCATCAGATTCAGCAGCAGTGCGAGCACAATTGAGCACAGCGGGTATTCGATCAGAAGCCCGCTCGCCGAAACCGACCACCTGTGAAAGAAACTTGTCGGCGTACATCTTTTGCCATACCGTATGGGCTGGCACGTCCGAAGTGTGCGATACCGAATGCTGTCGCTCAGGCTCGGAATACAACGGTCAGCGAGGAAGACTCCCACAAAGAGCGTCCCCGCCGACCTGCAAGTTGGCCCCATGGCGCTAGGAGGTAAGACTAAACGCGTGGTGAACATCCCAGCGTCTGGTACTGCACAGCTGGATATAGGAGTCAGCAGCGGTGTAGCCTAGCCATGCTGAAAATCTCGGGTGAGTGCAGTGCGACCCTACGCCAGCACGAACCTGGGAGCGGAAATCCACTCAGATGCGGTACGAACCCACGCCTGCGAGCGGTTCTCAATGTCGGTGTCCGCTGATTTTCTGGCTCAAGTGCGCGGTGGAGGAAAAAACACTACCTCTTACCGCGTGGGGGCCCGCGGCGCCAACCCTCCCAGAGGGAGGCCGCAGCGAAGCGTACCGTACTAGGTCCCTGGAGGGTTGGCCGAGACAGCCGACTACCTCCTTAGGGCCGTCCTCGGCGTGGCGAGGCCCAATGGGCCCCATGTGATTGTTGCCAGCCTCCTGGGACGAACTCCTGTGATTTGTTGCCAGCCTCTGGGCCGTTGCCGAGGGCCCAGAAATAGACCCAGAATCGGAGTTGAGTGAGTACTTGCCGGAAAGACGCCAAAGGACAGGAGAGCCCTTTCAGGGGTTATGAGCCCAAGCGCGGGATTCTGCCACCCTGCGTTTGGAGCTTCGCTTGCCCATAGCTTCCCAGCAGCGCCGCTGGCGCCGCCTGCTGCGCTCATGTGTACCTCGTGCAGGGCTTGCTCGGACGTCATCGTGGGCCCGTCGGTCGCGTACGACATCTGCCTCACCGACGTGCACAGCCACTGCATGCAGCCCTGGCAGGGCCATGCATTTTGTTACGCCTGCTTCGCCGACCGCGACATCGCACACGGTCGTTGGCAGGCCGACTGGTCCAGCGACCTCGAGGAACAGGTTGGCCGCCGCGTGGCATTCGGTGCGCAGGTGGCTGGCCAGACAGCCACCCTCGGCACCGCGGCGACAGGGATGCTGCGCCTGGCTGCTGGCGCTGCCACGGGAGCGCGCCAGACGTGGGCGGCGGGCACGATGATGCCTCCGTATGTTCAGCCGCAGCTTCCAGACTAGTCGCCCGCAGCAGCTGTCGAGAGCTCTGGCAGGGCGGACGCGCCGACATCAGCCAGGACCCGCAGCGACCGCCTGCCGTTGCTGTGGGCTTCCAGCTGGAGGAGCTGCGAGGGCTGCGCATGGAGGTGCAGCGCCTCAGCCGCAGGAGCAAGCAGCTGGAGGCAGAGCGGCTCGCCGAACGCGCATCGGCAGCAGTGGCCGCAGCCCCAGGTGGGGCATCAACGACGTGGTATCGGACCCCAGTGCCCGGGCGCCAGACCCAGGCACGCCGCCCTCGCAGGCGAGCGGCGGAGCAGAGGCCAATGCACAGCCCTCAGCTGGTGGGCGAGTGGCGCTGGAGCGCGTCCCACCACCATCGTTCCCTCGTGCGCCAGGTGACGAGGCGAGTGGGGCGAGGCCGAGGAGATGGCTCCGCCCGCCACCGGGCTCGGGGAGCCCGCGCCCGACGCCGATCAGAAGCTTGCAGCGTCGGCCGCGGACCAAGCGGCAGTCTCACCTGGTGGAACCCACATGCCCGGCAGTGAGGCGGCCGATGGCACCAAACCCACGGCATGCATCGGCCGCCGCTGCAGCCTGGCGGGCTGCCGCCTGGGCTGCCTCCGAGCGGCCTCGAGCCCAACAGATGGCCAGGCGGGCCTCCAGGCGGGCCGCCAGGAGGACACGGAGGCGGCGGAGATGGAGGAGGCTTCCGAGGACCTCCTGGGGGTGGAGATAGTTTTGGCGATGACCCCAGGCGCGGTGCGTGGATGACCGCAGCTAGCGTTAGGTCGGGCATGCCCCCCTACACTATTTTTTGACAATTTTGGAGTGCTCCTCACGTATGAAGGGGCCCCAGGACACACAAATAAATACACACAAATAAAAAGATTCCCCATATTTTCCTATATTTTCTGGGTTTTTGTCTTCCCCACCACTTCCCATATTTCCCCATATTTTCTGGATAATCGAGGATTAATTGTGTCTGTGTGTTTCTTTTCCTCTTGAACGTAGAGGGACAGGACCGACCTAAAGCCAGCGGCCCGCCCTCGCCCCCAACGCCGCCGCCTGCCAGCTCGGCAGACGCCTAGGGGCTGACGAGCAGCACCCGGGAGCCGCGTTCTCTCTTGAGACGGCGCTGGCGAAACTCAATCGGCGGCGACGGTAGGGGCGAATAGCCCAGGGGCGGGCATTATACGCATTCGCCCGGGAGCCTTTTCGAAGACATAGATCATGGGCGCACCCGAATGCATGTATTGCTCTCCACTGGGCAATGCGCCCCTATCGTCGCCTCTGGCTCAAGGACGGCGACGTGCCGAAGTTGACGCACGCCGCCGGCGAGAACAATAGAAGAAGAAACTACCACATAAACAGAAACTTTTGGCACTCCGAACGGATTTCTTGGATCAGCGCCAAAAGTTTTGAGGAGTGGTTGCAGCGAGCTGCAATGAGGATCGGGGCATGGCATCCCCTCATCGACTTGCTCTGGCATCGGTCGGACTGTGCGGCGAGGGAGGCATACGAGTACAAAACCTCAGCCGTGGTCCGCTCGAGCGCCCGCTCCTGAAGCCGAACACCGAGTGGTTCGGCGCATACCGCCACGACATGAAACTGCGCTTGCGCCCGCTGCTGTTGGAGTCGATACCCGAGCAACTGCAAAGCGGCGCGCTGGCCACCCGACAGACTTCGGTGACCGAGCTCCTTTTAGCATCATGGCGGAGGCGGGCCTGGCAACCTTCGAGGTCGGAGGCTGGTGCTCACGGAGGTGGAGCGGCGCGACACGAAGGCCGCAGCCCTGGCGCACGGCTATCAGGAACTGAACTCGTGAAGTTCTCGCCCACTCAACTGCAGCGTCTTGGCATTGCAGCGCCGAATCCTGTCACGCAGTTGGCGACGCTGCGAGGCACCGTGAAGGACATGGCCGAGGCCGACGCGAACTTCCAGTACAGGATGTGCGCCTGGGACATGCAGCCTGGCATTTCGGGCGCCAGCCATTGCTCGCAGCAGCAGGTAGACGAGCCCTGGCGGTACCTCGCCGCTGAGGCTCGAGAGCTCTGCGATGAACCCCAGGGACAGGGCGTGAACGTATTGGCGGCAGCGCGGGAGGTGAGGGATGCAAAAGGCGGGGGCAAGCAGGGCAAGCCCGACGCTACGGGCGGCAAGGCTGACGACCGCGCCAAGACGAAGGTGAAAGCGAAACCTGCTGCCAAAGCAGCGACAGGAGATAAGGAGGTCTGCCGGTTCTTCGACAGCGGCACAGGCTGCAAGTTCGGTGCGACCTGCACTCGCCACCACAGTAAGCTCGAGGTACGCGAGGGCAAGTGCTTCAACTGTGGGGCCACCCACGGACGACAAGGCAGCGTGCCGCGGCCGCAGCCTCCTACAACTGCTGCCGCAGGAGGTGCGTCGGCAACATCGGCGGTCACGATTGCGCCAGTCACTGCGCTGACCGTCGAGGCGCTGTATTTGCGGCGCGCACAACAACGGGGTGGAGGGAGGGGGAAGGGCTTCTTAGAAGGAGGCTGCTTCTTGGAAGGCGCCGGCCTTACATCTATAGATAAGGCCTGCGCCTTCTAATAAGCAGCGTCTAAGAAGCCCTCCCCCTCCCCCCACCCCTCTCTGCGCATGGCTGACTGTAGCAGGTGGTCAGGGATGCCGTGGGTGCGAGCCTCTTCCCGATTGCGGCCGCCGCCGCTCCTGCTGGCCCTCCTTGTCAGGATGGCTGGGGTCAGCCGGCAGGGGCCTCGGGGTCGAACGGCGCCCCGTCCGACGCCTCAACACCGCCTCCTCGGCAGCAGCCTGCCCGTCGGACGCTTCGCGGGGATGTTCGCGCGGCACGCGCGCGCCATGGCAACTCTGGCCGGCGGCGGCTGCTGGCCGATGCGGGGGCCACACATGAATGGCAGCACCTGTGGCCGAGCCAACGCCCTCCTGTGCCTGTGCCAGCGCATCGACCTCGCGCACGCGACTGGCAAGCAGGCTGGGGTGCTGCTCGGGACGGACGAACGAGGGTGGTGCACGTCCATTCGCCTACGGAGCTGCCGGCCATGTTCCCGATCGGCGCCTACGTCGCCGAGTTCCGCCTCGATCTCCAGTGGAGCGAGGATCGAGCCCGCGAGCTGCTGCTGGGCCAAGGCGCGTGTTTCCAGAGAGAAAAACACCCTC